TTTAAACTATGTAAGAATCTAGGAGAACATTCCTAGCACATTTACTATGTCATATTCACACTCACAAGTGTTATAACCCACTGCAGAAAGTTCTTGCTAATAGAACCAGGTTCTTGCTAATAGATCCTTTGGAGATTAGAATGAAATTACACTGAGTGATCAGTGCTTGTAAATATACACTTGTAGGGTTTATTGTAGAACAATTAGGTTGCAAAGGAAAACAGGCATGTAGCCATTTCCATTTTTATTGTTATTATCTGTAGTAATGTAACAACATGAAAACATTGCAGTATGAAAGCACAACCACGTCACCCAAGGACATGTACTGGGGGAAAGAAAGGAGTAAGAGAGGACAAAAGTGTGAAGATCTCACCACCCATAGGCCCTGTGATGAGACTTGGTTGTTCCACAGTCTTGGTCAAAGTGGTGATTCCAGGCTGGATCCTTTGGGTGGTGAGGGAAGTCCTGAAGAAGTGTTGGGTAAAAACCCCTGTGACAATCTGCAGAACACAGCATTTCTTGAGTTTATGTTCACTCAGGTTCAGGTGGGGAATGCCCAGGTATCTTCCCTGGATGTGGGAGCTTCACACTGGATGGGGTAATGTTGTGGATCACGGGGCATTTTGGGAGTCCTTGACATCATCTAAGACAACACTGCTGCCCACAACACTGGCAGCTGAGTCAATTATGGCCCATCAGCAGAGATGAACACCCTCAGGCCACATGTCAATGTCCCAGGACTTTCCTGGGGGGAGGAGGGCCACTGAATGCATACTACATCCCAGTGGTTCATGCAAGGGAGAGCACCTTAGCATAACAGGAAGCACCATCCCATCTCCATAGGACCTGTCTCCTGTCTCACTCATAGCACACCATTCACCCTAGGTCTTATCAGATCAGAGATTAACCAATGCAAAACCTCACCTCCAAATCAGGCTTTAACAAAGCACACTGGCATCTTCACAAATGGGCAATATTTTAAGTCATTATCCCTTAAAACTTCATTCTCTCACAGCATGCACACAAACATGAAGAGTCTGTTGCAGGGATATGCATGTGAAAAATTCCCCTCAAGTTCAGGGAAGTACTCGGATGTCATTCCATCTTCTCAATGGTTGAGCCTTGAGGATTTGGTGTATCAGCCCAGGATCTGTCACTGTTCGGGAATCCTGAGTACAGCAAACTTGAGAGTACACCCTCCCAGGAGGGAGATGTTGGCCCCAGCCTACTGTAGTGCAGGAGAGCTCCAAGGGTCTCACTTTGTACTGGTCTTTATAGGATCACAAGAGTTGGCTTCAGTCACTGTAGTTTTCCATCCTAGCCACAATTCAGGTCAGTAACTTTCTTTGAAAGTTTGATAGCAAAAATATTATTCCATGTAGGTTGCTGTTCAGGCAACAAAAGTAAGTTTCCAAGGCTGTTCAATAAACCACAGGAGCTTGTTAGACAGCAAAAGCTTCTGGCTGAAGAGCTCAAGAGGAGCTCAGCCAGCTGCTGTCTGTCAAGGCTGAGGCCTAATGAACATTTCTGTGATCACAGTGTGTCCAGGGTCGGGGGCACACACCCTTCAAAGTGGCCTAATGTAAGTCAATAAAAGAGTAAAAGACTTGTGATGTGCTGAAATTTGAATTTGCTATTACAGCTTCTAGGATTGTCTTCTATAACCCCATCCCTTAATCCAGAGGCAATAGCAAACACCAGTTCATTCATGGTTCACATGGTGAGAAGCTTGTTCAGACCATGTCCACTTGGTGGGTGTCTGGAGAGCCCAGCTCCCGGCCCTCAGATCACCCATTGTCTGCCTGCAGGGAAGGAACCAGGGATGCCATACATGGACAGAACCAGGCTGCCCTTTCTCTGCAAACATCATAAATTTTGAAACAGACCATGCTTTTTGACAAACCAGTATCCCAGTCCTTCAGGAAACATCTATAAACAGTGAGAACCCCCATCTAGATTTATATAACCTACAAAACCAAGTGTAGTATATGTAATTTTAGCCTCAATGCACTTCTCCCAGGTTACCCCAGGCAGGTCAGAAGTGGAACCAAAAATAGATTTATATTTTTATATTTTTATATTTATAGATTTATAACAGATACACCCATCAGCAGTTACTGAGGTTCCAGCAGGGTGCCATGGACAGTCTATGCACCAGGATCTTGGAACACAAGGGTTTAGAGCTTGCTGCCAATCCCAGCACACTGGGAGCAGCTCAGGGCTTTGCCAGCAGGTGAACTTTGCCACTGACAAGGACAAACAAAAGTGACTTTTGAAATCAGTGCTTAATTATGCTTATAAATGAGGGTCTTCACACACACCAAAAAGATAGTTAAAAACTAAGAAAATTGCTGGCTTTCAAATGCTTTCCAACAGACAATAATTTACAGGAATCTTCTCTCTTCTTTAAAAATCACATTATTTAAAACTGTAGTTCACATCTGAAAACTCTGTAAAGTGATTTCCCACACCAAATAAAGACTGAACTGGCAACTTGCAGTGCTTTTCCCAGTAAGAATCAGCAAAACCAGGCATTTCATAATTATGGATCCTGGCTGTTGCCATTGCTGGTTAATGCATTCAGATGCTTAGCCATCCTTACTGAAGGAAAGAGTATTAGAAACTTTTAATTTATTCAAGTCCTCAAATAGCCAAGAGAGCTTCCTACAGATACAAATATACTGAAAATGGACAGATATGGACTAAAAAAAAAAAATTATAATCTGTCAGAAAAAAAAATCAAGCATTATTATAGATTCAGAGTAAGGTCCTATCACATTTACGAGTGAGCTTGTAAGTTCAGCATCACTCAGGAATTTTTCAAGTCCAAATTGACTCTTTTCAGCTAGTTAGTGCACTGAGCTTATACAGTACATTGTTTTCCAGCATCACCAATGCGTAATACTGTATGTATTAACCAAGCAGTAAAAGCAGTGGATTAATCTTCAAAAGTCCATTCGTTCCACTGAAGGTGCACTATTAAAATAACAAATGTATTTAACAAAACTATAATAGTATAATTGACGTATTACTGCTTGTTCCATTCCACTGTGACAATTGTGTGGCTAAAAAATGAATTATACTGCTAGAAAACCTGAACAAATGAGTGCGAAAAACAATCACTAGAGATTTGTTCAAAATGAAAAATCCTAATGTTTCATTTAAATTCATTGTTCTGTTGAAGACAGATTTCCTTAACATTTTTAAGATAGTTATTTTGTAAAAATATACTTCCTTACTCTATAGGTAAGATAGGTGATAGCTAAGGGTTAGAAGGTAGGTTTAGATTAAATATTATGAAGAAATTCTTTGTGCAGAGGCACTGGAACAGGTTGCCAAGAGAAGCTGTGACTGCCCTTATTATCTCTGGGAAGTGTTCAGGGCCAGGTTGGATGAGAGGAAATGGTCTCAAGCTGCACCAGGGGAGATTTGGGTTGGACATCAGGAAGAATTTCTTCACTTAAAGAATTGTGAAGCACTGGAACTACCAGGCTGCCCAGGGAGGTGGTGGAGTCACCATCCCTGGGGAAGTTCAAGGAATAACTGGATCTAACACTCAGTGCTATGGTCTAGTTGATGTTGTGGTCTTTGGTCAAAGGTTGGAGTTGGTGGTCTTGGAGGTCTTTCCAACTTAAGTATGTGATGCAGGGAAAGGTGTCCCTGCCCAAAGCAGGGGGGTTGGAACTACTGTGATCTTCAAGGTCCTTTGAACCATTCTAGGATTTTATGATCATGTAACAAAAACCCACTCCAACATACAGCATTCAGAATTAGTGTTGGAATTTTTTACACATTTTATGGCAAACATTCTCCTGAGCTGTTGAACTAGTATGGGGTAATCAATGCTTCTTTTTGGCACAGACCTCCGCAACCCACCAGAAGAGAACAGTGATGTAAAGCATCAAATAGAGTTTGCCATCTGATAAGAAACCAGTCACTGAAGGAAAAGGACAATGTTCCTGTGCAAAAAATGCTTTCTTAGTTTTAAACCTTACTCCCAGCTCCACTGGAGCAGCACCTTCCTCATTTTTACCATGTTCTGTGTATTAGCTGGGCTGTAACTTTGCTTTTATTTTTTATTATGAAAGCTCAGCCTTTAGTTTGAATATTATAGACAGAAAAATAGTATCCTACACTGAAGTCCTGTATTCTGGAGCCAGAAGTTGGCATGACATACACAAAAATTCAAGATTACTTTCTGACACAAGCTTGCACTTGGCATTTTTTCCCCAATTTGCATAGTATACTACTATGCATTTTGCAGAATTAGGGAACCTTGTGGAAAACTGAATTAACTCTCAATCCATATTTAGGTATATTTCTGCTCATCAGTGTCACCAGCGCCACCTTATTTGTACTGTAGAACATAGGACATTTAATTTCGCTGCGTCTGTCTAAAATAGCTGTAGAGTTGCTGGCTAGAACATTCAGGGCTTAATTAACTTTGATGTTCTCACTTGTGAGTAGATGTATAGTTGTTAATACTGTGTGATCAGGCAAACAAGGACTTGGACTCCCCATTTAAAACCAAACCTGCTAACCACACCCCTGCTAAACTTCTACCCCATCAGAAACTTCTGATGTAGAGTTTGATACTGGGATGAAGTGAGCCCAAGCACAGTATTTGTACAGTGACAATTCACTCCCTTAGAAAATCCAATATCCAAATTCCACAGCTTTGTTTTACAGATACAAAAGATGGATAATACAGACCTAGTCCTAAAGTATTTTACATATTTTTGCAAGCTGAGCCGCAAAGATGTCAACGATACTCGGCTGAAGCTCTGGTGTATGCAAACTCCAGAAAGTGGAAGGGAACAATTTAAGAAGTTATTGATCATTATTCTGAAAATTGCTACAGTACTGTGGCATCACAAGATCCAGACCTAAGTGTTATCTGACAGCACCATGCAAAACAGATTTTAAATTTTCACGTAATTTAAAATGTTTGTAGTTACTCAGTGAATTTCAGCAAACGCAACCCAACATAGACTATTTCCTATTTTTGCAAGCTTATTTTATTTCTTTGCTGTACAAAGGCAGAAATGCAAACCATCTCAATAAATGTACATCAGTAACTACTTAGAAATGATACAAGTATGTACACAAAACTCAATTATTTCACTTCGGTGTTGATACCATAGTTCATGTAGAGCTGGATGCGAACAGCATCTAACACAGTATAAGGCGTAAGTCTCAGGATATTTACATCTTGTTCTTTATAGCAAAGGCTTCCAATACGTCAGTTCTTTGTTACACTCTTATTTGACAATCCTGCTTTGTAGTGCAGCCTCAGAACTGAAAAGTGCATTTCTTCATTTTATACATTCTCACACAGATTGTGGAGTGTTCCAGAAATAGTTTTCCAACCTTCCTCTTTGGAAGTAATTGATTATCTATGTTTTCTGTCAACTAAAATGACAAGGTAAAAACAGTGTTTTCCCAGAGTTCTGTAGGTCACATGCAATTAAGAAAACAAAGCTCCTAAATCCAACGGCAGAAACTGTTGTCTTTTGACTTGGGAAGATAAGCAATCCTGTGACAGCACTCAACCAATCCACTGCTGGTTTTTTAAACACTTTGGAACATTTCAGGTTATAAAGTCTGCAGATCCAGGCACCTTTGGAAAAGCCTGGATCTGAAAAGCCCTGTAATACAGATATTTATGTTCTGTATTAGATTTTTGTGTTGTAATTAATCTGGCATCTCAAATGTTTTTTTCTCTTCCATCGGAGATCTCACTTTAAAAGGAAAGTAAAAAAGGAATATGATTACTCTAATTGTAGAAAATACAATTCTGAGTTATTCCACAAGCGAAAGAAATAAAAAAAATGCCTAGGATGAAAAAGTCAACTCTTCCCTTCACCTATAAAGCAGCACTTCTAAAAATAATTTCTCTTTGTGTTCTGAGCTACTGCAATATCCTGCCACATCCTGCAGCATCTTCAGTGGGTCTTCAGAGTCTCTTCTCTATTGCATCCAATCTTGTTTTAGGAGATTAAAACACTACATCCCCTCTTCTGTCTGTCCTCCCTTAGGGCAGGAACGAGCAACAGCAGTCTCGTTTAAAACAGCATCATAACTCTCATGGCAACAATCTCAGCCGAGCAGGACCCTGTAGTGCAGCAGCTGAGAGCTGACACGCTGCTCCATCCATGGAGCAGCTCCCACAGGAAACCAGCAAAGAGCAAAGGAAGGAAAAGGCCAGGGAACAAGAGTGCCTTGCTCTGTGTGCACGTGCCTGACTGTCTGACCTCCTGCTGCTGTGAGGTAACACAACAGCACAGACTTCTCTTCCAGGCGTTTCCTATACTCCCACACATCCTGACCCACAACTATGCACAGAAAATTTTACTTTTTCAACAGTACAGCTTACAACCTTATCAGAATGATATTACAATCTTAACAAAAACTGTAATGGATAAAAATGTAAAAGGAGGATGTTACCTTCATCAGGATAATATGATGTCTCAGTTTCACTAGTGACAGTATCTGTATCTTCACAAGTTTTGGCAGCTGAGTTCTCTATTTCCACCTCACACAGATACACATTAATAGGTCCTTTTGTACTCTTCACATGTACTTCTATGTGATCCTATAAAACAGCAACTTGCATATAATCCAAAGAACAAGTCTTACACATTCTTTATCTATTTTTACAAATATTCTGAAGACAGCAGATTAAGAACATAACAGAAATAACATAACTATTTAAAATTATGTTACTACTTCCACATAAATTATGACTATTACATAGATTTGTGGGGCAACTATTACGCAGAATTAAACTAACAAGCTTTCATTCTTGATGAATGTGCACTTAAGTATTTATTCAGTCTTTCTACTGACCTTCAGATATATGACCAAGACATACTATATGCTTAGGAAAGTAACAGAATTTAAAAATTTGCAAAACAGTTCCGTGAATCAGACAACAAACTGAAGCACATAGCACATCAATGGATGTGGTAAAACAACTAATCCCTATCATTTCTACTGCTTTCCTTCAGCAGATATCACGTTGCAAGACACAGAACAAATAAATCTTAATGCACAATGGAGAAAATATTCCATTCTAATTTACAGCTTTTTAAATTCTGCCTTTTTATTGCTTCAGGAGGCATTTGGAATTGTATCTTTTTCATCTCCACTGATGACAAACAGCTCCTTTGACCAGGGAAACTACTGGAGATCTATGCAGTGGGTTAAACTCTTTTGGTTCTACTAATTAATCTCCTTTTCCCAAGATATCCCACCTTTCTGTCCACATGGCAAGGCAACTTCCATGGCTACACAATTGGGAAGATTATCAAAAATGCTCATGCAAAAAAGAAAATGGAATTAAAGTTCTATTTGTTATCTTAGGCTGCCTTCCAGGATTTGCCCTCTCAGAGCACTACCAACAGTAGGTTCCCAGTAGACAGGCCCCACTATGCAGCTGCAGCACTGCTGGGTGCAGGGGGCAAAGGTCTGGCTCATCTGTGAGATGAGAGCGGAGTCAGTGTTTTGCACCATGGGGTGAGGACAGGGCACACACAGCCCCACTCCATGGAAAACCCCTCTAGATTTGATTTACCAGAGTGACAAAATGTTGTCTTTTTCCAACTATACTGTACACTGCATACTTTATTACAGCTGTTCCATTCTCTCTAGCAAAACCAGGTAACTAAAGCTCAGATACATTTATGGCTTAATAATTTAGGCAAAAAGAAATATACAGCAAATAAGTTTCTAAGACTATTACCCCTGCAGCACTGTTTAGGGGAACACAACAGTGAACTACCTCTATCTGCATGACAAAGAAATTGGAAGTCTATTACTTGACTGCTGCTGCAAAAAATCGAATTTGAGAACTTTTGTTGCTTTAGGAGAAATGTATAAAACTTACATCTTTAGGAACTGGTATTTCCAATTTGGTTTCCTCTGGAGCTTTGATTGCGATCACAATCTGTTCCTGAAATGCCTGAATGCTTCGGATATCTTGGTATGTCACATAAGCTAGTGTATACATTGGTCAAGGATTCTGTAAAGTAATTTGCTAATGGGCAGAAGCAAAGAGTGTGATGTCAAGATATGTTGAAGCAGAATACCAGCTTCAGAAAACTGATCAACAATTGAGTAGAGGTTAGTATTAGCTTTGTGAAACAAAGTATCAGCTAATGGCAGAAAAATACTTTTCTGTATTTCTAGGAAGGAAAAAAAGCTTTTAAAAATCTATTCAATGTTATACAAAAACCCAAACAGTTTTCACAGATGTTGTTGTTAGTCTACAAAGCAGAGGGAATACTGCTCTTCAGAAACTATATTCTATTTTGTAATAGCATGGGAATAATCTCCTGAGACACTATAAAACTATTTTCTTAACCAGTAAGTTCTAAAGAAAATGAGCACATTTTATTTGCACACACACCTTAACATCTTGCCAGACAAGGGAGCTAAATAATATTTTATTGTCAAAGCCAAAATTCAATCTCTATTCTATATATTAAAATAAATCTTTTCTATTGTCAAAACCTATCTGAAAGTCAGATACTGCACTGGAATCTCTTTCAAGAGAGGAGTATTAGGACACAACCAACATGCTGTTATATCTCCTTGGCGACAGGCCACTGGGACTACATTCTGAGTCCTCTCTGACATCTCACCAAGCAGCTTGAGCTCGCTGGTAGGTCAAGACCTGCCCCTGAGGCAACTCAACTGGAGAGAACAGGGTGATGGTCAGGGTACTAAGATTATTGCCCCACTTCATTCTTCTGCAGTGGAGAGGTCACACAAGCAGCACTCCTCTGAGGACAGGCTAGACCATCCATGATACTGCAAAGCAAGGCACCTGACTGGCATTCTCAAATATAAAGTAATCAAAAAGTTTGCTATTATAAAATTACCAAGCAATACTGCGTAGCTGTGGTATCAGCGTACACTTCTTACTAGATATGTGAGTATGTGCAACCAAACCATGTGTTAAAAAAATGCATGTTGAAAAGAGTTGAAAGGATATTTTGCATTTTCTTTGTCATCTGTTAGTTCAAATATCTGATGAGCACAATTCTTGATTAATTCATCCAGAGCTTCTTCCATGGCTGATAAGTCAGAAAGTTCATCTTTAAGGTTTTGCTGCTCTGGTACTTTTCCAACAACTTGGTCAAGATTGTTACCTCTAGAAGAACATGAAAGTTGTCTAGTATGTTTGAATAAAAAAAAAGCCTGTTTATTAAACATCAAGTATACCAACAGAAAACAGTAAGAACTCTGGCATCTTTTATTCTGCTGAAATATGCTTCCATGTACTTCTGCACTTGATACTTTTTAACATATTAGGTAATTCACACAGCATAAGGATACAGAACTTAAAATATTACCTATGAGAAGTTAATATGCTTAAAGATACCCTCAGAGTAATAAACATCACTCAACATTGTTGGGATTTACTGCTTCAGAAACTAGAAGTTTCAAACACAACTCACATCCACTGGATAAGATTCTTAGATCTTTTCTTAATCAAATCGATTCCATCCAACACATTGGTGATGTCATACACTCTTCGTTTTCGTACTCCAAGTGTTGTTGCTACTTCATTTAAATCAAGGACACCGTCTGGAGCTTTTTTGAGAAGAGCCATAAATCTTCGTGTCAAAAGCACCAAGGATGCATCAAATCGAGGCCTTTTGACTTCCAAAGTTTCTGTAAAGTTTTGGTAGAATATTTAGAGTAAGCTACTACATAAGGAAGAAGTATTCCTTAAAAAAAAGTTATAGTGATGAAGTATAAATGAAGATAAAACTCTGGAAGCACTGCAGTTTTTAATACTGACATTGCAATGGCACCATATAAAGCCTATTAACCACAGATACATTCGTTTGCAATGATTTTATGTAAATAGCAAGCATGCATTTTTGTCCTTTAAACATTCATGACTCCACAGTGCTAGAATGGATATTAATAACTGACTAACTGTATGTTCTACAGGATGTGAGATTGGATCACTGATCAAATACCAACGAAACCTTTGGTTAACTATAGACAGTGCTGAGGTGCTGCCAGAGAAACGCAGCTCTATCTCTGCTCCATGTCACTCTTAGAATATTTTTTTACCCTTTTTGGTCCAGTTTAACCAATAGACCTCTCATGCAACTACAAGGCATGGTTCAGGAGTCAGCTTGGCTTCAGGACTGTATCAGACTGGACATGACCAATCTGTTCTGGAACTGAAGAACTTAATATGTAGACACACTGCACTATTTGGTCTCAGGGCAAAAGAACTGGTCATTCCATTGTGTGATTTACTAATGCAACAAAGATCTACAGCTATGACACTCTGGTTTTAGAGATGCCTGTGTTATATGTATCATATTTGCTGAAACAGCAGAAGTCACTGATAAATAATGTGAGGTTATTATTTATGTATGCAAAAAGTGCAAAAAAACGCCTACTTTTGAGGCACAAAAAAGTCATGTATGCACACTCATTTGATGCTAGTCATTAAAAGATTGTCAAATTCTGCTGTTACTTGTCTTTTCTCCCATAAAGCAAAACAGGTATTTCATCTGATCAACCTGTGTCCCTGAGCAATATTCCAGTCTAATGCTTCAAGAAAAGGTGTGTGTGTAAACAAAGTAGCCTAGACAACATTCTACTTCAACCATCGGTATTTTACCCAAGATGAATGAGATACACACTTTTACTCATAACGTATCACACCCATTCCATGGCTGCAAGTCTGTGGAATCCTTAAAACCAAGTGACAGGTTCAACAACTCAGTTTTAAACTGTGTTACTGTGAAATGTGTGAAACAATTCAACTGGCAAGAAACTAAACAGAAAAAACCCCAACACCCAGAAATTCAGTCAAGTTTATTTCCACATTTATTAACACCAGCTGAAACCCAACATTTGCCAGGATGTTGTTCCAGTTTTCTCTAACTTACTTTTCCTGTGTATTATCTTCTATATAGCAGTGGGAAGGTATACTTGTAACAGATCTGAAGAGAAAAAAAACTATAAAGAATGTATTGCTTCACATCTGTTAGTCAGTGTTCAGCATTTTTCCTGCTCTGCTGACAGTAAAAATCATTTTTCATTTGTCTACAGCATATACTCACATTGTAGAAAGACATGAAATACTGCAAGATTAATTTTCACAGAACACATAACAACTTACTTTTCACAAGCCGTGTGTCCTTGTGCACATTCAGGTTGATCATTGGTGCCTGAGGGAATAAAAATGGAAAAAACCAACTGTCATAAAATGCTATCTACAGGAGGAGATTCTTCAGAAGAAACCCTCAAATCTACTTTAGATGTTACAGCCATCAGTTCTGACAATTCAACAGCTATTACTGTGAAGAACTGTCACTAGATAGAAGGAATACATGCTCTTTAATTCCTGCCAGAATTTTCAGTCCTTAATCTCAGCACAACTCACTCTGTTTAAAATAGGAAACACCACTGAACTCACTAATGCTCAAGAAAGCTGCAATCTCTCTTGCTTATCTGGTTCAATTCACAGCCATTTCCTTTAAGCTGCCCATCATGTACAGTAGTGAACTATCTGGCCACCTTTTAAAATTCTTGCTTGCAAGCGTAAGTTTGGGTTAGATACTCAGAAAATGTTTTTTTTCTCAGGGGGTGGTTGGACACTGGAATAGGCTCTCCAAGGAAGCTGTCATAGCACCAGCCTGCCAGAGTTCAAGAAGCTCCTGGACAAAGCTCTCAGGAACACGGTGTGACTCTTAGGATTGTTCTGTGCTGGGACAGGAGTTGGACTTGATGATCCTTGTGGGTCCTTTCCAACTCAGGATATGCTATGACTTTACTGAAGGGCTGCTGTGATTTAACAAGTTCCCTCAGGAGTTTGTTAACAGCCTTCCTGTACTAGTGGGCCTAAATCAGGAACAGCATTCCAAGGGCAATCTAATACATGCCAAGTAAGGAAAAAGAACCACTTCCCTCGATTTACTGTTCTCCTGCTAAGACAACCTCAAATGCCTCAATGTCAGGGCACAGTGCAGGTGCACATTTAGCTCACCATCCATGAGGACCCCCAGGTCCTTTCAACCGGGTGGTCCCCCAGCCTCTAGAACTGCAGGGTAAAGGCAAGGCTTTGACATTGCAGCTTCCTGGGCTGATGAAGTGTTAGATGGCCCTTCCCTCGAGCCCATAAACCTCACATCCTCCACCTATCAACAGGACAGGCCCTAGGGTAGATCCTGCCAGGTACCCACCAAAGCTGCTCTATCACTCCTCTCCACAAGTGGCCAGGGGAGAGATGCAACAAGAAGTTCGTGAGTTGAGCTAAGGCCTAGAAGAGATCACTCCCCAGATAACATCATGGGCAAAACAGACTCAACTTGGGAATATTAATTAAATTTATTACCAATAAAATCAGAGAAAAATAATGAGAAATAAAATACATGTTCAGAAAACACCTTCCCCCCACCCCTCCCACCTCCCCAAGCTCTACTTCCTCCACACCAGCAGCACAGGGAGATAGGAATGGGAGTTATGTCAATCCATCAAATGTTGTTCCTACTGCTGCTCAGGGAAAAGAGTCCTTTCTTTATGTCAGCGTCGGGTTCACTTTCACAGAAGACAGCCCCGCATGAACTTCTCCAATGAGTCCATCCCACAGCAACGGTTCATCAACTGCTTCAATGTGAATCACTTTTCCTCAGGGTGCAGTCCTTCAGGCACAGTCTGCTCCAGCGTGGGTCAAGGGTCACAAGTCCTACCAGAAAACCTGCTCCAGCATGCAATATGGGCTTCCCAGAAGTTCACAGCCTCCTTTCAGGAATCCACCTGCTCCAGCCTGAGTCTCCTCTGTGGGCTGCAGGTGGATCTCTGCATCCCCATGGTCCTCCATGGGCTGCAGGGGGGCAGCTGCTTCACCTTGGTCTGCACCACAGGCTGCAGAGTCTCTGCTCTGGCACCTGAAACACCTCCTCCTCCTCGTCTTTCACCACTCACCTTGGTGTCTGCAGAGTTATTCCTCTCACACATTCTCATTCCACTCTTCTCTGGCTGCAATTACAACTGTATAGTAACTTTTTTCCCTTCTTTAGTATGTTATCACAGAGGCACTACTACTATCTCTCAGAATTAACTCCACCTTGGCCAGTGACAGATCCATGCTGAAGCTGCCTGGCGTTAGCTCTGTGGGACATGGGGGAAACTTCTGGCAGCTTCTCACAGAAGCAACCCTGCAGCCCCCCACCCACTATCAAAACCTGTCCACAAAAACCCAGTAAGGGAAACAAGACCACGGTTTCCTTTGTTTGGAAAGGGGGTACCTGCTCCAGCTGCTGTACGAAGATTAAGTTATTTTAAGGATCCAAATGTCTTGAGACTCTGCTATGGGAAACCTGGGGTCAATCTGGTGAAGGGACCTTGTCTGTGTGAGTGTGGGGGTGCAGCTGCAAAAGGGCCTTGGTCCCAGCGCAGGTGGTTCAAGAGTGACTGACTAGAGTGGCTCCTGCATGGTCACTCAGGGAAATTTCTTTAATATTGTAACTTTTGACACTCCTTGTTAGTTTCAACACTACAACTTTGGCTTTCCAAGCATCATATCTGCACTTTTATCCTTATTCTTTAGTCTGTCCTGCATATGTTCTTTTTGCCATGACTGTCATGATGAAATGTGTTTCTCCTAACTGATCTCCATCTCTCTTCAGCACTTCCAGCTTCCAAAGCTGCCTTCCCAAAAATCTCAACTACCTCTTGGCAGAATAAGCTGGAGTCCTGAACACTAAGCTGGAATCCAGGTTCTGCATTTTGTTACTCATCTTCCTTACTAGCAGGCTGAGGGTCTTGGAATTATCTCACTGTTAAGAAAACTCCCCAGTCCGACCCTTCATGAGACTCTCTGGCAGTCACACTTCCAGTGACAGAGGCTGTCACTGCTGGGACCGCAGCCCCTTCATGATGGACAACATCAGTGAGCTACTGGGAGCCCCACATGATGGCTCCACACCACACTCATACAGTCAGGCCATTTTTCCTCACTGGTTGAACCCCAGCTTTCTCACTGCAGAGTCTCAAATGTCTCTCCATAAAACAATTTATTCATGGTGCAGCTACACAGAAACAGCCCAAGCTGATACCTCCAAAGTGGGACACACAGTAAAGGAACACCTAAATTTTTATACCCTCATAGTCTAACCAGATAAACCTTGCTCTTCCCCCTGAGTCCTCTGCTCCTGCTGTGTCTTCCCACGTATCTCTCTTCATCCAGCTTGGCAGTGCCACCATTTCTGTGCCCTTTGGTTATCCAAAAGGTTGGCAATTCGTGGCTTCTGCTGTGTCCTTCAGTATCCACTCACCTGGTCAGTGCCACCGTCTGTCTTCCCACCCTTCCTTATCCCAAGGGTTGGGTAGTTCATGCCCTCTTGGGATGACCCTCTTGGGATACCACCCATCTGCTGCCTGCCAACTGAGCTATCTGCACTAGATGTAAATCGTAATTCACACCCAGTATTCCACGGCCATCACAGGCAAGGCTGTTAATGACTACCACATCTAATGACCACCACTACCTCCCTGTTTCTAAGAAGCTGATTCAAGAAAATATCACTCACTGTAAATCATCTAAATATCTATATTTATATAGAAGCTATGTCAAACACCATTTGCTTCTTACAATCATCAATTACCCACCTGACAACTCACATGAACTCTTCATGGCTTTAAGAAAATACTTCCAAGTAACATTTAGTCCTACTGACATGAATAATTTTTTAAAAAGTAATATATTTAAAGAAGACTCACAAAATTTAAAGTATGCACCATCAGGATTAACTAGAAAAATGTATTTTTTTAAAGTTGTACTAAATAGCCTTTTTTTGCTTGGTACTTCATAACATTGCTAAAGGTAGTAGTGGAGCTGCACGTATGATCACAGATGTTAAGCAAATACACCGTAGTCCCCTTTTCTCATTCGTAGCTATAACATTTTTAGCTCGATTAAGAGGCTGTAGGCAACACAGGCAAGAACAACCACTCCCCTTTTGCATTCTAGCACCTTTCCCAGGAAGCCCGCCCCAATGCCACGAGGGAAGGAAGCACCCCAAGGCTCCTTTCGGCTACCACGCTGCCTGGCCCGCCGCACCTTTCCCGCGCAGAGACGTAGGACGGGCTTTCGGCCGCCTCCTCACGAGCTCCCGCAGCAGGAGCGCAGCAGCAGCAGCGCCGTCCCGCCCTCTCCCCGTCCACAGGCAGCGCCTCCCTGTGCCGCCCGCTATGTACCTCACTCACACGCAGCGTGTCCGGCTGCAGCGGCCTTAGGTGCTCCCACTTGTCGCGTCCGGCCATGTCCTCCCGGCCCCTCCTGTTTGCCCCGGCCGGCCCCGAGGCGAGGCGCTGGAGGCGGCAGGGCGCACAGACAGCCTCACGCCGAGGCTC